AAAGTCTTATGACTAAATCATAGGTTCTAGAGAAAGAAAGAGAGAACTCATAAAAATGAGGTCAACAACCGTTACTGTGGAGTGTTTGAATTGCTCGGAAGTAGCACGAATGGACTCAATGTGTGATATAATATATAATGTGATAGCTAGAAAATCTTTAGATACGAATCACGATGACCCATGCAAGCCATAATTAGTCTACAATTCATCCAACAAATAATAAAAAATATTCGTGACATCTGAAACATGTTGTGAAATTTGCTATGATGACTTTTGAGTAGCTTGCCAACCGACTTGTGACCCACAGATGACGAGGGCACATAAGTTGTCTTACACAAACGTCTTTTATTATACTCAGTAATGAGCAACTATCTCTAAAATTTGTTATCATAATTGTTGTTTGTTGAACTATCTCTAAAATTTCCTTTTTATCTGTTAGATCCATCTGGCAATTCTATGCATTTTAGAATATATAAATAGATCAAGTGATACTGTAAGTGAAAAAAAATTTGAAAATATGCATAATGAAATAGTGCAACTAGTGCAAAACGCATACTAAAATGTCAAATAAACTTGATACAACACAAAGTTCAGCATGAAAGTGTAAATGATTACAAATCAAAATCCCAAATGGTTATATCAGAGAAGGAATCCTCTATTCAGGCACTAGGGTGAAAAAGTCTCCCAGTTATTTTGATCTTATAGAAGTTTTATAGCAAATAAATAAAGGGGTGTGTCATAAAATATCTCCATAATGTCCAACAACTTCACAACATCTGTTATTATCGGGTATCTCTGTAGAGTTGTGCAAGCACCAGATGTGGCACCGGTGCAGGTAGTAACGAGTTGTGGACAAACGAAATGCATCACAGTCGTACCCCTCAAATCCTTCAATGCAAAACCCCCAAGCCGACAAACCTATGAATTTGAAGAGCATGGCACGAAATCACCACCTAACAAAAATAGCAAAAACAAACCATCATTACATAATTCATTTGTAAATACATATCCAACATTTCCCCAAGATATGCTAAAAAATGTCACAACATTAATTTCATTCTACCTCCTTTTCTTGAAAATGTTTTTTATAAAGACAAGTATATGCAGTGTAGGTTATTTTTAAAAAAATATCCATAAAAAATTGTCGTGAGCCAATACAAATTGAAAGTTTAGATGTTAGATTTGTTAGTAATTTCATTTCACATTCTCTTCTTCAATGTGAAAATATTTTTTATGGAGATAATTATGTGCACTGATGATTTTTTTTAAAATATATCCATCAAATTTGGGGCAAAAATAAGATATTCAAATTAGGACTGGTCAATTGCCAAAACAATGCCCCATATACACTCTCATAGCTCAATGAGATAAATTAATCGAAGAAGCCTCTATCCAAGATCACCAATTTTATCATTCAAGTTTTAAGATCAAGTTGTATCTATGGCAATCAGTCGTATATGTAAACTAAGGTCATGTCGTATCTGTGACAAGTATTAGTTGTCAATTAGAGAATTGACAGTTGATGACCAGTTGAGCCCTTTGATATTTATTTTCTAGCATTGCTCTACATAACATTTCAACTACAAAATGCAATCACATGCCCAAAATTTTAAATTTGGATCGGCTCAAAATAATTTTAGATGGATAATTTTTAAAAATAACCCTCACTGTCCATAAAAATCTTTTCCAAGTTGAAAAAGAGGATGTGA